GCCCTGGGCCATGGAACTGGTACTAGTTTGTGGCCTGTTAGGAACCAGGCTGCACAGCAGGAGGTGAGTGGTGGGCAAGTGAGCAAAATTTCATCTGTATTTGCAGCCGCTCCCCAGCGCTAGCATCACTGCCTCCGCTCCACTTCAGATCATCAGGCATTAGATTCTCATTGGAGCACAGATCCCTGATGCCAGAAAGGTTGGGGACCACTGTTTAGAGCATAATCTGGGCAACCATGAGAGACAGTCTTAGATTTGAATGTCATACAGATACTTTTTATGCTTTTGTGCCATTAGGGTCTCAAGAGTTTTCCAAACAAAATAAATTTTGATGCATTACATTTTAATAAAGATTTCAAATAATTTTATTTGAGAAGGGATTTTTTGAAAGCAAACTCTTGGTACAATGTCCCAGCTACTAAAGAACTTGAGACTACCTTACCCAGGCAGTGAGAAAGGGCTGGACCAATACCAAGGATCTGTCCAGTGTGTTGAGATGGTGACTGAAATGGAATTGTAAGAGCGATGTATTTTGAGGTTGTCTCTGACTACTTGGAACTTTTTCATTTTGTATGTGTAGAAAGTGACATATATATAGAGGTAAATACAGGTTAGTGGGGGAGTCTGTTTATGGCTTGATAAACCTGCTGGTGGTGATGCTGAAAGAAGTGAGGGGAAGATGCTGGTGTGGTAGGACTGGGAGATCACAGAATGCAGCTTTGAAGAAGCTTCTGGGATGCCAAATAGTTTGCTACAGTTCTGCTTCTGCAGCCAAGTCTCTCTCCTGTTACATCCCAGAGCTCCAAGAATCCTCTGAGCAAGCACAGTCCAAATTCAAAAGTGAAAAGCAAAGCCGGAGGCAACTGGAACTCAAGGCGACAGCCCTGGAGGAAGAGCTGACTGACCTTCGAGCAGAGAAGGAGTCTCTGGAAAGGGTAAATTCTACAACTGAAGTTTCTCTGTTGAACCCAAGTGGCCAGGAACCACTATTTAATAAACATTTTAATTTTTCTTTTAAAGATTATAATAGGATGTGCTCATTGTAACAAAATACAAATAAGACAGAAAAGTATATTCTTCCCCTTTCTGATCTCATGCATTAGAAGTAACAGCTATAAGTGATGTATGTTTATTCTTCTGCCGTGTTTTCTGTGGGTATAAAACATATAGACACACTCACTTATACATACATATAGCTACATTGATACTATTTTTTTTTTTTTTACCAATAATGGGATCATGTTTAATGCTTTTTTAAAGTATCGTGGACAGTGCACTAATACAAATGAGAACTTTCTCATTTTTTTTACTACTGCATAATAGTCTGCTACGAGACTGTACCATAATTTAACTATTCTATCGATGGATATTTCTGTTTTCATTTTTTCATTATTTCAAGCATTGCCGCTTTGGACATCCTTGTACTATACAACTAGTTTTGTAGAATCATTTGTGCATTCCCATAAAATGAATTGTTTGAATTAGAATTACTGGATTAGAGGAAATGCTATACATCGAAATTTTTAAAATAAATATTGCCAGATTATCCAAAATAAGAGTGTGCTAGCTTACACTTCTAGCACTATGTGAGCAAGCGCATTTCTTCATACTTTTTCCAACTCTGCATATATCAGTTTTTCTAATCTTTATAAGTCTGATAGGTGAAATATGCTGGTTTATTTTAATATGTATTTTTGTTAGTAGTAAAGCTTTCATATATTTAACACTTATTTGTATTTCTTCTGTGAATTGTCTTTTTAATGTCTTTTTGCCCTCTTTCCTATTGTAATATTAGTTTGATTTGTAAATATTATTAAGGGTATTAATCCTTTGCCAGTCCTAGGTGTCACAAATACTTTTCTAGTTTGTTGTTTTTAAACTTTATTCATAGTATCTTTTGTTGTGTTAAAATTTTCATATCAGGATTATATATAGGCCCCATTGAACAAAGTGGAACATTTCTATTTTCTGGGATAGTTAAAATATAACAATAACAAATTCTTTCTGAGGTTTTAGTAAAACTCTCTAGTAAAGCCCTTTTAGCCTAGTGCCTTTTTAGGGGCTAAATCTTGGGTTACAATTTTAGTTTCTTCAGCGAATTTATCAGTTGTTTTTTTTTTTAACCAAATTCATTCTGTATTTTTTGGCTATTTTCAGTTTTTCATTATTATAGATACCACTACATTACCCATCCTTGTAACACACAGTCTTTATGAACATGCTTTATTGCTTCCTTAAGACAAATTAGAATTTGTGGAATTTCTGGGTATGCATATTTTGTAAGTATTTTCACAGGACTGACAAATTGCCATCTAAAGGGAGTATACCAATTTATTTTCCTACCAGTAGGGTTGAAAGTGTCCACTTCCCTATACCTTTATCACTGTTCAAAGATATTCCCCATCTCTTAATGGAATGGTAGATAAAGCCCTTCTTGGTTTCCTTCTTGTCACAATTTTTCTCACCCAGTAACCAAGAATGTTAAATATATAGGGAAAATTAAACTAAAAAATGCATTGTTTCCAGAAATGAAGTAAGAACCCAGTGAGGTCACTGACCATCACCACCACTCTCTCTGCTGTCCTCTGTTAAACAGCTAGAGCTGATGATGGTTCTCTTGTTCCTAAGAACCTCTCAGAAAGAAAAAAGAAGTCTGCTCAAGAGCGATGTCAGGCTGAGGAGGAGATAGATGGAATTCGCAAGTCATACCAGGAGGAATTGGACAAACTTCGACAGCTTTTGAAGAAAGCTCGTGTGTCCACAGACCAAGTAGCTGCAGAGCAGGTAATGGGAAACTGAGCACTTTCAAAATAAAAGCAGGTCATGAAGGACTCAGAAAAGCTTTTAGTTTCTTCCTTATCTTTTATGATGAGATTTCTCATTATTGGTGCCCTCACTTTAGAGAAAGATGGAAGAACACAATCCTAATGTATACAGAAGAGCCAGGAATCAGGCGATGAATCTTTCTATTTTTAAACTTTAATGAAAATTTAACTATATAAGTAAAACATGAAAAATAAAAAGTCTTTATAAAAAAGTTCCAAACACAGTTAAGTCTAAAGTCCTCAACCACTAGACACCATCTTTGAGACACATTATCACCCTTGAAAAGGGATTTATTTAGGTAATCAGGGAAAGCAGGGGCAGTGGCAGGACACGGCTGGATATGTAGTTCATTTGACAGGGACCTTTCTCCTTGTAAGTTCATAAATTCATATTTATATGTCCATTTAGAGTGAATCGGTACCCTCAATTTGATCACCTCTGGGAATTTTGACAAAAAGTTTCTGAACCTATAAAGTTTAGGGCTTGGACTCCGAAAAGTATGATTACATAATGGCCCTGCCCTCTAGGAACCTATCTAGACAGTCACACCTGTATTTGGTCAGAGTACCTTTTAGATTCCTGACAAACAACGATATATTCCATCTGCCTTAAAAAAAAATTTACTTTCAAAGTAATCAAGATCTTTCAAACAGTGTTTCCCTAAGAAGCTGGGCTGTTGGCATATTTGTTTTGCCTCATAAAAGATGGGCTTTCCTACATGCAACTGGACCGCCCAGGATATGGCGATTACTTTTTCTTGGCAGCTGTCTCTAGTACAGGCTGAGCTACAGACCCAGTGGGAAGCAAAATGTGAACATCTGTTGGCCTCCGCCAAGGATGAACACCTACAACAATATCAGGAGGTGTGTGCTCAGAGAGATGCCAACCAGCAGAAACTGCTCCAGCTTCAGGAAAAGGTAGGTGTTTTCTCTGAGCCAAACAGCTTAGGTAGCCCTGTTAACTTTAGGCAAGGAGGTTGTTTGAGTCTTATAGGTTCTTTTGAACCTGAAAGATGTTAATAGCTTGAAAGCAAAACTACACTTGTTCAACTCTCCACAGTAATCTTTCACATCCTTCTTTGGGATGACAGGCGAGTGACTTAGTAAAAGAAAAAGCAGCAGTAGTGTTCTGGAACATGCTTTCCATTACCATTTGATCCTTCATTTATTAAGCAAGTATTTATTGAATGCAAGACACTGTGTTAGGGAAAGGGCTTACAAAGAACTCTGCCCTCAAGAATCTCACAGTCAAGAAAGGGAGACCGAGAGAAACAAAGATGAACATTAAGTGCTGTGAGGCCCAGAAGAGGAAGTGTCTAGGGGAGCAGAGCCTAGGACAAGTAGCTTTGGTTAGGTGAAGAGGCAACAGAACATCCTGGGAAAAGGCACTGAGACAGGATAGAGCATGGGCATGGAGGATCATCTGGCATAAAAAACTAAGAGAGATGGCTTAGGGTCATGGTATGAAAAAAGTACCCATATCTGGAGGTCAATTTCTTTCCTTAAAATACCCAGTTGAAAATCTTTGACTCAAAGATGGTGAAGGCAATCTTACAGGTGAATAGGTTGCTTTTAGTGTCCACTGTTCATATGTCTGTGTGACTAGAATTATACCCCGCCTTTTTTTCATTATATTCTTAACCTGATTAGGAACAAGGCAAACAACCTTGTTGGGAAAGTTGTGTTGGCGAAGTTGTGAGTTGAGATCGAGTGATGGGGAAATAGATACCCTGAGTCAGCCAGCCAGCCAGCTGGGGGTGAGGTTAAGGGTGCAGACACCAGCAGACCTGCGCGAGGTTAACCCTTGATGCTTAGGATGCTTCCCCTGCTGGGTTTCCTGACTTTCACCTGGTAGGCAGTTCAGGTTCTTGGGCCCACAGCCATAGTGTGTTCGTTTTGCAGTGTTTAGCTCTCCAGGCCCAAGTTACAGCCCTAACAGAGCAAAATGAACAGCACATCAAGGACCTGGACAGAAACAAGTCCCAGATGTCTAGGGTTGAAGCTACTGCTACTGACCCATCAGAGAAGGTAAGCTGGTAATTTGAAGAAGAAGCAAACCACGTCATATCAGGCATTCAGGAAGAATATGGTCAATTTTTGCTAGCTTTTTTCCTAACTTTATGGATGTACCACCTGCCTTTCTTAAGTAAAAATCAACCCTTTGGAACCTGTCGCTTTGATGGCAAACCCAAAGAGCCCTATCCCAAGGTTTTGGCAGGAGAAGAGTTGGGGTGGAGGAGCGTGCCCAGCATCTGCTAGCTACCAATCATAGTAGCCCAGAGCAGCTCTAGTGGTGGCCACAGTGGGAGGGAACAACAAACAGTCTTTAAGCAATCTCGGTGCACATGCTACAGTTTACCTGTCCTTGATAGCCCTTCCATTGAGTGCAGCTCATTATTTTACATTGTCCTCTCCACGTCCGAGCTCATGACCAGCTGTGTCCCTCTGTACAATTCTAAGGGGGCTTCATTTTAGCCTTCCAAACCCCTCTCTAGAATTTAGATGCGTTCCTTAATCACTCGATTTTGGCAGCATACCTTTTGATATGTTTTTCTCTCCTCACATCTTCACATAGGTCAAGAAGATCATGAACCAGGTATTTCAGTCCTTGCGAGGAGAGTTTGAGCTGGAGGAATCTTACAATGGCAGGACCATTCTGGGGACCATCGTGAATACCATCAAGGTACAGTCAGTCAGCTGTTGATTGTTTCATTGAAATGGGTATCTTGTTGCTTAAGTACCTTCTAAGGAATCATGAATAAAAAATTATTTAATACTGTTCATCAGTAATTCAGATGCCCGGAATGACTCTTATTTGGACAGAGATGGGCAGCCTCCCATGAGAGGAGGAAGCAAAGTCATTTGAACTAGATGACCAGTTGTGTTAATGAGAACCGAAGAACTAGGGGTGCCTGCTGATTTCCTCTCATTGATCATCTCCCCCTCCTTGGCTTTTGCACAGATGGTGACTCTTAAGCTGTTAAACCAACATGAGGGAGAAAAGGAAGAGAGCAGCAGTGAAGAAGAGGAAGAGGAAGAAGAGCGACCTCGGAGACCTTCCCAGGAGCAGTCAGTCTTGGCCAGTCCAGGACCGTCTCAAGCACCCCTGAGTAGGGAGAGGCAGGAGTCCCCCATGGTGCCGTTGGAGCAGGTAGTCAAGGAAGCTGACCCATTGCCTCCTCAGGCCCTCTCTGCCCTTCAGGATGATATACAGAGAAGGGACGGGGAGCTCGCAGAAGCAGAGACGCTCTCGGAAATAAAAGATGATTCCTTCCCACCTGAAGTGGCTTGCGTCCCCTCCCAAAGAGCTCTGGAGCCCCCGACTTCAATTCCCCCTAAGCCTCCGGGCCCTATAATGGTGGACTCTGAGTGTGAGGAGACACTTGCTGCCAGCCCATTAGAAAATGTCTGTGTCGAGGAGCAAGAAAGCGCCATTAGACTGTCCCTGACTTCAGATTCTAAAATGGGGGACCCACTGGCCTTCGGGCCCGAAAGTCCAGGAGGAGAGCCTCAGTCTCCAGAGCTCAAGAATGACGAAGATGTCACTAGCTCCACTGGTCCCTCCAAGGAGCTGTCGAGCACAGAGACAGGTTCTGCAGCTACAGGAGCAGCACTTGGACCCAAGCACTGCTCTCAGCATTCCAGGTATGTCCCCTTGAGCAGAGTTTCAGGGACAAGGTGGTTGTATGTAGAGGTTGTCTCTGTGTTTTCCAGGGCTGGTAACTCATCCCTCAGAGACTGACTGACTAATTCACTTATTCACTAATTCATTCATGTCTTTGATACCCAGTAGGTAAAAGGCTCTGTGGTACGTGTAGTAGGCAAGGCAGATTTGGTTCTTGAGTTAAGAAGCTTACAGTCTAATGAGGACTCTTATAAAAGTATAAAAGTATAGTAAGTACTAAAAAAAAAAAAAAACAACAGTATATAGTAGAGAATAAAGGTGGAGTTATTCTACTTTCGATAGGGTAGTTAGGGAATGATTCTGAGAAGGTAACATTTAAACTGAGACTTGAAGAATGGAAAGGGGACTTCCATGCCAAGAGTGGGAAGAAGATATTGCAGAAGGCAGCACATGGAAAAGCGTGCGATTGGAGGGGACGTGACACAATCAAGGAACTAAAAGAAGGCATGGTAATTAGGAGAAGGGTATTAAGCTGATGTTGGAAAACTATATAGGGGCCAAGTCATGTGAGATTTCATGTCACTGTTAGAAGTTTGAACTTCAAGTACAGTGAGAAGCTATTAAAGAGATTTAAGCAGAAGAGTGATTTATTAATTTAAAAAATCTCTCTGACTGTAGGTTATGGAGGGAGCCAAGAGGGCTAGGAGGCCCACGTGGAGATGGGAGGAATTCCTGGGTGGTTACAGCTGTTGGATTCTTACCCCAGAACCTGTGGACATTGTGGCCTGGAGTAGGAACAACATTTTCTGTGACTTGATTTTTCTTTCAGTCTCTCTGAGGATGAAGAAGATGAACTGTTTAAAGGGGCAACTCTGAAAGTTCCAAAGCCCAAAGCGCAGTCTGAGGAGGAGGATGAAGATGAGGTGGTAAGGAGATCCCAGGCACTGCTACGTCCTCACTCCGCTACCTGGGGGCCCTTCCCCACTGGCTCCGAGAAGAGAAATGGAGTCTGTTGGTGGCCCACTCCCTGGGCTCTGTGTGCAGGGCCCTGTGGGAGCAGGCTTGGGGCTGGGAGGAGGCAGCTCTGTAAGCATAGTGGGGATGGTCAGATACCACTTTATTCTTAAAAAGGGACCACAACCTCTCTCTATGCAGGAATGATTGTTATTTTAAGTGAAGAAAGTTGGGCCAGTTAGTTCTACATTATAATGCTGAAGCCTCAGGTTTCCTCAGATTGGCTAGGATATTATTTATATTTTAGAATTGGAAAGGACTTGGGAGATTGTCTTATCTGGCATCATATTCAGAGACAAACTGAGGCTCAGGAGGATGACTTACTAAAGCCACAGAGTGAGTTAATGACAGAGCTAGGACTAAACCCTCAAACTCGTACTAGGCCCACCTGTTTCTGAGCACTTTCTGCTTCCTCAGCCTGCTTTCCAACGTGCTTCCGTGTCCTGTCCTCATAACACCCCTGGGCTGGAAATGGGTTAAGTACCGATGGCATAGCCTTGCTTTACAAAGCTCCAGAGTGAAGGCCAGGAGGGCGAGTTGCTGATAGAGCTTGAATCAGAGGCCTGATTCTTGCATCTGCTGTCTCCACTGTGCTAAATTCAAGCATCCTTGGCCATCACTAGGACATTTTGACTGCTGTGATGGGAATTTCACTAGAGTGAAATGTTAGTGGAGAACATAGATCAGCTGCAGGCTCAGTCTATCCCAGGGTCAGAAATATGAGGTGAATGAGGGTAAGTGCTCTACCCTTAACGTATCAACCAGAGTAGGTTTTGTCTTTTGCTCAAACCTTGATAAAATTGCTGTGACAGAGCTGGGATCCTGCTCCTGTGTACAAGAACCCTTCCTTCTTGCCTGCATTTCTTTGGAGAAAGTGTCCAGTGACTACCCTAAATATAGTTGGAATTTTTTTATTCCAACTATATTGTACTATAAGCAGCATATTATTAGTATTAATACTAATACCATCAAGTTAATTTCTAATACTTGGGTGCTCTGAAAACTAGTTCACAAACATTTGCATTTAATCCTCTATAACCCAATGAGGTAGGCACTTTTATCCCATTTTATAGAAAAGAGGACTGAGGCTCAGGAAGATTAAGTAACATAACATGTCCAAGGTTATATAGCTTGTCCAAACTTATACAACTGGTAAATGTAGAGCCAGAGCTTTAGCTGGAACAGGACAACAGTGTGCTGCATTAAAATCCTGTACTGTCAGAATTTAGAGATTACTTGATTGATGCCCAGAGAGAGGTACAGGTCTGTTTGTCGGTGATGGGAATGGGATTAGCCCAGAGACCTCTGACTACATCACGCTTTTTTCCCTTTGGCTGCCCAGGGAAGTCAGATCCTGAGCCAGAGTAGCTCCCCAGAGCAGAAGGTACTCAGTGTGTGCCTGTCTCTAGTGTTAGTCCCTACTATCCCCATTGGACCTGTTCCCTGCCAATCCAGAAGAAAAAGGCCAGGAGTTCAAGTCGTGAAAAACGGGGAGAGTCTCTTCCATGGCCCATTAATCCCCCTCCGTCCCCTACCTGGTTGGAAGGAGTGAGAGAGGAGCCAGTAAGACCAGGGATATGGGAGGTTGTTGCTCTGTGTTCTTGGGATTCTCCACTGGGTAATGTGGCCAAACCTCTAAATTTGACTCTCTCAAATGATGAGGCCATGTTCAGAGCCAGCCAGGCCACCTTAGGCCACAACGGTTTTTCAAATGTGATTGTATTCTTCCTTTCCGCCCTTCATCCTCCTGCATCCTCTTTCCTTAGAGCTGCTCTGTCTACTTCTGTTTTTTTCTCCTACTCCCATCTCTCCCCTTCAACCCTTCTTTTCCCACACAAAATATGTAAGTTACCGCATGAGAAGAAATCTGTCAAATCAATCCATGTGTTTCACAAATAAATGACAAAATTAGCTAAACAAAGTTGGTCTTCTTGTCTCTGTGTTAAAAATTGCCTCCTTTCTCTGCTTGCTTGTTTCTGCTTAATGTGGAAATCTAGGTTTGCTGGCCTCAGAGTTATTCTTTTCAGTAAAACCCTAACCAGCCACCTCCTTTCCAACCTGGAGTTGGAGCCGATGTTGGCTCACTTCACCTTACACAGGTGGGAAGTCCATCTGGTACAGGAACAAGTGAGGACTGACTACTCTTTCCTGTTTTGTCAGAGCATGAAGGGACGCCCGCCCCCAGCACCGCTTTTTGGAGATGATGATGATGATGACATTGACTGGCTGGGATGAAGACCCAGGAAACTGATGCAAAGGTTTCTCTACTGAACCTTCCCTAAGCATGATTTTGCACAGTCAACCCTGGGTCTAGGTGAGCCACAGGGAGAGGTGAAGGTGAGCATTCTGAGGACAGTAGTTCATATATCTGAGTTAGCCATCTTCTGAGCCCACCGCCCCTCTGGCCAGGTGAAGAGAACTGTGGGCCTGTTTTCAAAATGTTGGGGATGTGAACAGCTGATCATGGTTCTGCCTCGGAGTCGCACTTGGAGGAAGGGCTGCTAGGTTCCCCTTCAGCCAATCACCTATGAGAATCCTGCCCTCTTCCAAGCCTTTTATTCTCTTTACCAGCTCAGATGGTTGTGGGGAACCCTCCTTTATCGTCTCCCGATGCTCAACTGTGGCCCAGCAATAGGACCTATCACCTTGGGTGAGGGTCTGGTGGAACCTAGGGTGGATTATACTATCTAAACTCCAGTTAACAGCCTTGCCTGCAGTCCTGTTACATGTATCTTCTCTCTGCCTTAAATCTTTGAAACTAAAATAAATATCTCTAATGAACCCTGACTCGAGGTCTTGGGGAGAAATTAAACTTGGTTCTAAGGGCTGTCTGGCTCCTCTCTGGGAATCTAAGGGTAGGGGTGGTAACAGATCTGGGCCAGTTAACATGCATAAAATGTGACGTATTCCCTTTGGTACCTAACTCTGGAACATTAAGCTTTCAAAGAAAGTCACCATTCTTTATTCCCTTTGGTACCTAACTCTGGAACATTAAGCTTTCAAAGAAAGTCACCATTCTTGCTGACTCAGCTTATCCCAGTTGCATTAAAGCTTAGGGCATCATGGTTATCTGAGGACCGGTATTCTTCAGTTACTCTGCAGGCTTGGTTCTACATCCCAGAAAGCCATGACGAGATGGGAGGGTCCCTACAATACATCGTCATTCATCATGGTACCTAAAAGATTCCTCACTTTGAGAGCAAGTTCCATTCCCTCTGAACTCAGGGCCAGGACTAATGAAAACAGTAGTGAGAAAATATTTGTGGTCATCTTCCAAGGTCTTCCAAAGACCATGCAACCAGTCTTCAGAAAGTAGAACAATTTTAATAAAAAATGTTCCCAGTTTGAAATGTTTATAAGATGGGAACCTGAATGCCTCTTTATTTGGCCTGACATCATCCTTTATGATGACAGTTTTGAGCCTGTCTCCCATATGTAGAGTTGGGAGGCAGTAAGAACTGCTGTTTACTAAACTTTGTTAGTTTAACAAATAGGCAGTTTTGTTGAGGATTTTACACAGACTGTCATCTCCAGCAACCATTGCAGAAGACAGTTACCCCCATGAAAGGCAGCCAGCCAGGCTCCCTGGCTCTGCCACTTATTAGAGTGACTTTAACTACTGTGCCTCAGCTTCTTCATCTCCGAGACAAGGACAGAAATAGTTTCTACCTTGTGAAGATTGAGCTAAGACTATACAATGCTTAGAACACTGCCTGGCAAATAATAAGCACTACATAGGTGTCAAATTTTTAAAAATTTAACGAGAAAATATCAGCCTTTGTGATTTGGCTCTGAAGAATGTTGAAATGCCTACTGAATCTTACCATGTACTCAGTCTATTTAGGGCATGGTATTTTTTTTTTGTTTTTTGTTTTAAGCCCTCTATTATAAAAGCCTTGAATGTATTACATATGTAGAGACTGTATCAAACTAAAGAGGTTGCAGCACACCCCTGGAGATCTCAGTGGTACCCCAGGGGAGGGAGCCTTAGCTGGTCAGGACATATAAATGGATGCATGAGGCTCCCTCAGCAGCTGTACTGGACATTTGAAATCTTATACCTGTTGTGACATTAAGCAGCTTTCCAATTCCCTGCATATGTGGGGAGAGTGTACTGGTCAACCTCGAAGGCATCACATACTATAGAGTTACTTCTTATTATAAATTAAAACATGGTTTTGATATATTTTTGCTTCTACCCTCAGAGAGAAAAGGTGCTAATAATTGTGCCAACACAGGTGTTTATAGTCCGAGTTATTTTTCTTCATGATCAGTATTTGTTACATGAACAAAAGAATGCCTCTTGACTAGGCTGGTATTGTGGGTGTCTGCCTGTGGGCACAGTGTTTCAGGGCTGGTTTTCCCTGACCACAGAGTTGTCATCTTCATAGCAGATGGACAGACTCAGTCTTTAGACAGCCAGCTCTACAGCCAGCACTGCCGGCTCCATTTGCCCTGCTTAGCTCCTGCAGTTGTTAGAAGGGATACAGTTGTTTGAAAGGCTTGCTGTTTGAATAAAGGTAAACAGAAGAATGGTCACACACTGTTTAAAAATATATATTTATTAAAATATTTCTTTTTTAATTCCCAAAGATTAAGACCATCTTTCATCTAGAACGTGAGGTACTTAAGCGCAGAGATTACAATACATAGCAGTGGTTTTTTTTCTCCCTGGGTCTTTTGTTTCTTTTTCTGTAAAGTGAAGAGGTTCAAATATCTGGAGAGTCTCGTCTAACTCTACAAATGTAATGCTTTGGTTTGACTGTTTATTGCATTTTCAGTCACTATCCCCATGGCATACTCAGTATTTTAAGTGAATGAATTATGTTTGCAATAAGTGAGCCGTAATAAATAGAGGACATTAAGTGTTGAATATTACTCAATGCAGTTCTCTGTTTTGCATAAAAGGATCCGGATAAAAGGAGGCAGTAAGGCCACAAAGAGCTCTTAGACACCTACAGCCATTAGACTGTCTTCCTCGTGCAGGCTGATGGGATATTCACTCCTTTATTCACTCCTTCATAGGAGCCTGGATAACAGTCCTGCTTCTCTGCCTTTAATCTGCTGTCACTTCCTCTCCATCCAAAAAGGGAAACAGGTCCCAGTAGATGGCTGCCATCCATCATGAATAAAATGAAATAATTTCATTAAAATTTTTCTTATTAATGTGCAAAATTGCCAACCAGGAGTTCAGTGGGAAAAAATGAAAAAAATCTTAGTTCGTTTGTCAACATGATCCATGGAAGAGGCAATCTTCATGTGTTCCAAAAGCAGAAAATGAGAAAAAGGAGCCAGTGTAGTCTCTGTCCCCAAAGAGAGAAGAGGTCAGGCAGTCCAGTGGAAGATGCTCCTCTAGATAAGCAAAAATCAGGAGAGCAAAGGGTATCTAGAGTCTGTGCCCTTCACTCAGAACCCATCGCCCTGTCTTGAAGATCTTTGGAAATGAAGTTTTGAGTCACACAGTTAAGTCCTCATGGGCTCAGCAATCTTATCCCCAGATTCTGTTCTCTCCATTCTCCCACTGGTCACAGCGGCCTTCTAAAGCATAAGGCTGGGCCTGGGTGGGCTGTCTGAGAAGTAGCTGCCATGGCCTCTGAAATCCAGGAAGCAAGTGCTAGCTTCAGCTGAAAGTTTCCAGGAGCTGGTAGTCAGGTGAAGAACAGCCATCAGAAGAAAAAGGAGTTGTGGGGCTGGAAGTACAATGTCTGGAAGAAGGAACCCCAGCTTCCTCTAGCCCTCAGTGCCTGTACAGCGCACAGGAGCTAAACAAGGCTGAGAAGTGGGTAGGCTAGGTAGTAGCCCACAGCCGAGCCCAGGACCACACCGAGGAAAATCCAAGTGTTGTAGGACATTACAGCCAACATCATGAAGTAGCCAATGACCACCTGAGCGACATGGATTAGAGACTGGCCAAAGTGATACGAAAACCACCTAGATAAAGAGAGGCAAGTTAACGTTGGTAACAAGCTGAAAGCTACGAGTTGGTGTCAGGAAATAAGAACAACAGCAGAGTTTCAGAATCAGCTTATTTATAATCTGTTTACTTAACCCAGGAGATTTCTTTTTTAAAAGACATCAGACCCACTGATAGGGAAGAGGGACTTGTACAAGGAGCTTAGGATAATAACCACTTCACCACATTTAGCTCTGAGCTTCCTGGCATCCTAGGCAAAATGAGAACATAAGATAGTAAGCTGTGTCTGATAAAGGATAATACAAAATCATTAAGCGGATTTTTTTTTATTTGAATCTACTGTGGGAGGCAGTATTACAATGGGAAGAACATGGACTTGGGTGACAGATCAGTTTCTAATTCCGCTACTTACTGTGTCTTAGCACAAATGTCTTAACCTCTCTGAACTTAAATTTCTTCAGTAAAAGAGGAATAAGAATACTTCCCTCGCAGAGTGGTTGTGAATATTTGAGACACCCATGTGAGGAGCAGACAGGCTGGTTATACACAGAGTTGGAAAGAGGGCACAATTGGGACCCTGAATGGCTGCTTTACCAGAATGAGAAGGGAAAAAAGAGAAGGGGCTGCTCTCCAACCAAGTTGGATACACTGCTGACAGCGATTCTTTCCATTTGTGTAGGGATGGCTGCAGATCCCATCCTGGGTTGGGGAGCTTTAGTGACCTGCTGGGATTTAGGGGAGGGTTGGGTAGACACCTCTGTTGCTAGACTGAAGCCTGCACCAGAGTTGTAAAGATCTCCGCTTCCCAAGTGGCAGTTCATAGGCCAAGCTCTGGCCTGGGCAGCAGGAGACCTGAGCTCAAGTTCACCTCACTACTTACTAACTGTAAGCACTTTAGCAAGTCCTGATCCTTCCCTGGGCTTCAGTTAACCTTCTGTGAAGTGGGGTTAATGCCCTCTCAGCCTAGCCTACCTCTCAGGATGAATGTGAGAACTCTGCCTATTCCCCACACCCTGTGCCTGTTACCTGAGACGGGTGCTGCTGACTGGGAGTGACTCTGAACTTGAAGAATCCTGGTCTGTCTCCTCAATGAGCTGCTGGCTGGTGAGGGTGGGCATGCTCTCCAGAGCCTGGTGGAGGAGCTTGGCTTTGCCAAACTTGAGGCTTTCATACAACACAGCCAGAAGAAGGACCACCAACACCGAAAGGGCCATACCTGTCAAAGGAAGCTGTGTTGCAGAGACCCGGCCAGGCAAGCAATGCCCCCTTCTAGCACCTTCCCTTGGGACGTGGCACAGGTGGCAGAACAGCATATTCACCCATTCCCTCTTCATTCATTCCATCTGCCTCTCATATCTGCACTGTCTCCCCACCCAGCCCTTTCCTGGCAGGGTTGGCCGACTGGAGTGTGGCTTTGAGATCAGGAAGAGTAACTGCCTGGAAAAGCCAGAAGCCATATACTATAGTCCCCAGCACAAATCTGGCACAAATCTCTGTCGTGAGGAAAGAGCGTGTATAGCAAGGTCCTGTTTATGCGTATGTACACAAAAAAGTCTGAAAGGAAGGAGATATAGCAAAGGAGTCATAATTAAGCAAATTCAGATACAGGAGGTATTTATTTTCTTCTTGCCTAATTTTCCAAAGTTTCTACTGTGTATTACTTTTATAATAATGAAAAAAAAAGTTATTTTTCAGCGCTTACCCAAGCTGCTGTGCAAAATTAATGGCCAACTGCCACTTTTGTTTTATAAGTAGAGGGATACTAAATGGTACAGTTATATAGTATTTTACTGGGCTCCCAGAAAGAAATCATCTATAAAAGAAGTGGGTTTTTAAAATATAAAACCATAGACAATTGTGTGCACATGGTGCAAATCAAACAGTACAAAAAGGTATACAGTGGAAAGTAAGTCTTCTTTCCAGCCCAGTCTCTCAAACCCCACTTCCCTTCCCCAGAGCAGCTTCTGTCAGCAATTCCCTGTATAGCTTTCTAGGGATACTCACTGTATATATAAGCCTTTATTTGTCTGAGTGACAGCATCCTATCTGTGCATACTCTTCTGCATCTCAGGTTGTCATCCAACTGTACCTCATATATGAGTTCCCCTTAGTTCACACATCTACCTTATTTCTCTGGCTTTACAGTATGTGTAGATTTTATTTTCCAAATATGGCCACCTCACTATATCCCATCCTATATGCTCTTACAATGTCAACATTCTTGCCATCAAGTGGTGAGGTCCTTGTTCCCTCCCCTTTAACCTGAAAAAGCTTTTGTGACTGCCTCAGCCAATAAAGGTGGAAGTGATGCTCTGTAACTTCCAAGGCTAGGTCTTAAAAATCCCATACACTTCCCACTTGTTCTCTTGGGATACTTAATCACTCTTGGAACCCAGCCACCCTTCCACAGGAAGCCCAGGCCACAGGAGACACCATATGTAGGTGTTCAGCAAACAACCCCCCGCTGAGGTCCTAGCTAATAACTAGCATCAATCATGTAGACATGAGAGTGAGGAATTCTTCAAGATGACTCCAGTTCCAGCCACTGACTATACCTGCACGTGAGACTTCTGAGTGAGGACTGCTTAGCTGAGCCCAATTAGCTCAGAACCTTGAGAAAGAATTATAAAATGACAGCTGTTGTTTTAAGCCACTAGGTTAACTCCATAATAGATTACCAGAATGGTAACCCAATATAGGGATGACCATAATTTATTTGATCAGCACCTGCAGTGATGGGTATTTCCAGTGTATTTTTGAGATGCAGTTATTTAAGTTGAAACATGAGTCCATCATGAATTAGTGCCCAACTCTGCTTTTTCAAGTCGAAGGAATACCTTTCTCTTTAAAATTGGTGTCTTATTTCAAGTTCAAGGCTACAGCAGCTGCTCTGGGCTTCTGAGCTAATGCTGGACAGTGAACTCTAGATGAAGGAGGTGCTAGGAGGCAACAGGTGGCCTTGATCTAGTTCTGGCTCTGACACCTACTCCTTATTTACTGTGTTACCCTGGACAAATCTCTTCCCTTCTGTGGGCTTCAGTTACTAACCCTTGTAATAGAGGGAAAAGCTGCATCCCTAGCCTCTCTCTGGGCCTTTGCAAGGATCAGTAAGATGCTGGAGTCCTTTGCAATCTGAAGGGCAGTGGTTGCAAATGGAATTATAAATGCAAAGTTCCTGTTCAATGTTTATGCAAGAGGAGTCAGGCTCACTTAAATGTCCACAGAACATACCAATAAAGCGAACCCAGGTTCACCACTGCCTGGAGCTACAAGGCTTCCAGATTCTTACCTGCAGGACTGTGGACACTCCAGAAATCAAACAGCAGCACCACCTTATCTGAGAAGATGAAATGCATCTAAAAGAGAAGGAAATCTGTGTTACAGGGGGCTTAGGGCAGTGGAAGCTATGGTCTCTAACACCCTCCAGCAGCTTCCTCTAAAGACCCAGAAAAATGGGGTCACTGGATGTAAGTGCTGAAAGGGCCATTAGTTGTCATGAGGGCCAAATGAAGCCAGACAGGGCAGGGACTTGCTCAATGTCCCACAATGGGTAAGCAGCAGAGCTGTAATTGAGCTGACCCTGCTCCAGGAGGAAGTGAAGTATGGGGGGTGGCCACTCTCACTGGGCCAGCCAGGTCACAGTGCTCTCAGGTCATGCTGAGATGTCGCCTCCATGCCCTTCAAACCCAATGGGGAAGCACTAGATTGAGGAACAATTGCCTCTTCTTACCCCTGGGCCCCAGCCATTCTTTTCCAGTGGTGTGTGTCATGGAGGGGCCCAGGGACAATTGTCTTCAATGTGTATTCCACAGTTACTCACTTGTTCACTAAACATTTGCTGAGCCCAATTCTGTGTCCGAAATTATGGACAAAGGTTAATAATGAGCTCACAGCCCTATAGAAAGAATGAAGTTAGAAGCAATGAACATGCAGTGCCTGTCTAAATGCTTCTCTCAAAAAGCACTTAGTCCATCCTGAGTTCAAGGTGGTATCAAGCTTTTTTCACACATTTCACAACAGTTTTCTGTGTGACAGGGACCACACAGGAAGGAAAAGTGGGTAAACTACACTCAGAAAAGTTAAGTAATTTGCTTTAAGTTTGCAAAGCTATTAAGTTGACAGAGCTGGGATTCAACTCTGGGTCTAGTTGGATGCCAGCCTGGTTGCATTCTAGTACACTATACTGCCTGTGCTATGAGATGGGAACTAGATGGCAATTACAAATAGCCACACCAGGCTTAATGACCATGTTTGGCAAGATTAAAACCAGAGGGATCAGTCAGTTAGTTCACCCTTTCAGGGAAGGGAAGTTCCCCTCTAGACACCAGGTAAGACCTCGGCCAGCAGAATCAGCTCTGCAAACACTGTCAGTGCTAACCCAGTTAGGAGATCCTTGCTGAGTTGGGATAAGCTAGTGGAAACCTTTGCCTTCTAAGACAATGGCCAATTATTAGAATCTCCAAATGTCAGAGCTAGAATTATCCTATTTTTTTTTTTGAGATAATATAATTGACATATAACATTATTTTGGTTTCAGGTATACTTAATGATGTATGTATATATCATGAAATAATCACCACAATAAGTCTAATTAACATTCATCACTGGTGATACACAGTTACACATTTTTTTTTTCTTGTGATGAGAACTTTTAAGATCTATTTTATTCATTTTCTCAGAGTTTTTGGTCCCCTGGTTTTCAACATTTCTTCCAGGGAACACTGGCAAATAAAATCTTCCTTATAACTCTGCTATATAAAACACAGGATTCTGAAAAAGAGTATAGCAGAAATAGGTCCCAGCTCTGCTAAAACTCAGTGTGAAAAACACTGACCTGGTCCAACTCTGGCTCCTCTCTACCCCTATCTCATTTCCAGGTGAAAATGAGTCCCAAGAGGGGAAGGGATTTGTTCAAGACCTCATAAGAAGAAAATGGAAACCTAGGTCTTTTAAAAATCAGAATTTATAAACTAGCTTTTTATCCCCCTCATGTGAAAGTGGTACTTGTTCAATGTAAAAAGCTGAAATAGTAGCAAAAATAAAGTAACTATCATTTTGAGTCCTACTATGCAGAGATATCCATCCCTCGTTAAGATTTCAGAGAGTATTTGTTGACACGACAAAACGTTCACAAAAGATATGCAAAAACAAACAGGTTCAAATAATTCTGTGGAACTCCATTTACGCTGGAGTTACACTCATTCAACTTCAGGGGGAATCCCAGGCACCAGCTCTGCGGTGGGGGTGGGAGGAGATGCAGTACTGTTACCCCTTCTCTGAGTTCATTTGATCAGGTGGTTGGCATGACTGGAATGTCCCAAGTAATCAGAGAGGAGGCTGGGTTCCTTCTATCCTTGGGCCTAGGCCAGCTCTCTCGGGTACCCCAAAGTGCTTTTGCAGTAGACCTGACTGAACACTCACAAAACAGTAAAATTAATTCAACCAACAAACATTTACTACTGTTGTGCTAGGGTTGTAGATGCCGGAGATACAGAGATGAGTGAGACAAGTCCTTGGCCCTCATGTAGCTAGAGGTCTATTAGGGGAGAGGGAAGTGAACAGATCATCACAACAGGATGTATATAGTTAGGAAAAAGGAGGCACAATGGAAGCCTCTGGGGTGGTGCTGGGGACAAAGCCCTCTGAGACACCTAACCCAGACTGAGAGGTGGCTAGGACATCTTCTGAAACAGGAGGAGCAGAAGATAGCCAGGGGAAGGTGGACACTCCAGTATGTTCCAAGTTGAGGGTCTGCCTTGCTGGGGAGCGAGGAACCCAGGAGGGACAAAGCCTCACTTAACTCTGGTCTTTCACTGGAGTGATTCACATAAGCACACTGACCTGGGGCTGCAGTGTTCAATTAAAGGGCCCTGTGGTCAGATATGCAAGGGGCAGGGCTCTAATTTAGGATGAATCTCAGCCTCCAGCAGCTGAGTTTAACTTTTATCTGTGTGGTATTCAGGGCCCCACCCGGGGTAGGGAGGGGTTGTGGTGAAGAAGAGAGAAATCCTGATATCTGTTTTCTTCTTTATTTTCTCATTTGGTGTTACTTACAAATTGAGAAAAGCTCCCTCGTTTATAAACCAAAGAGTTTAGCGGGGAGCGGAACGTCGGTGTTCTGCCAGAGAATGCGAAACTTTTCACAAGCCCTTCCCATCTATTTCCCCTTTTAGAAGGCCGACAGGAGGTGGGGGAGGGCGTTTGACTAAATGACTTGTATTGCCTTCCTGTATCTTAAGTCTACGATATTCTTCATGGGATGAAGGAAATTATGATACAGGAAGGCAATACAAGGGTCCTGCAAGCTGTCATTATCACCAGCCCGGATGAACCCGACCGAGAAAAACAGTGTATCTGAAACGCTATTTCTGACCCAAGTGTGGGGAAGATGGAAAGTAGATGGGTCTGGTTTTTTCTCCCAAAAGAATCAGACCACGAATTTGCCAAAACAGGGAACCCGCCCGGGGTGTGTGTGTGCCAGGTGTGTGAGCGCCCATGCACCAGGGCTTCCCTCTTTATGGAAGCCTTCCCGGAATCACCCCAAGCAACTACGCCCAGGACAGGGGAACTCCCGGATTCGCCTGTCTTCACCCACCCAGCTCCCAATCTCAGCTGCGCCACCGCAGGCGCCCAATACCTGCTCGTTGAGCCGGACTGGCACCCAACAAAAGGGACAAATAAAAAGAAAACCCCAGAGCCACCGCCGACTCTCTTTCTCGTGTCGCCTCAACGCTGTTCCCGCTGTTGACAATGCCAACACACCCCCTCACCAGCCCTCCGCCAGGGGCGGGGGTCACCTAGGGGTGCCGGGGACTGCTGCTCGAGGGGCCCCGCCCCGGCCGCCAACCCAGCGTCCACTTCTCGCGGCGGCGCCCGGACTCACCTCCATGGTGAGCGCTCTGGGTGGGTGCCGGGGCCAGGTCCGCTCACTCCGGTTTCCAGATTCGGAGTTGGTCCTGCCGCCGTCGCGATCGCAACTCGGGCCGCGCGGTCACGTGATCGGAGCGAGACAGGCGCGCGGGCGCCTGGGAGTTGTGGTTCCTACAGCGCGTCCCACTCCGGGCGGCCTGGTTCTCATCCACCCGTCCGCACCCATCACGGAACCCCAGGGGGTCCCCAGCCGAGCCGCGCCGCGGGACCAGAATGACTAGCATAGCGGGGCTACCCTGCATTCCGTTTAGACTCTTACTGTTTTGCATTTATTTGCCTTTTCAGTTATCATAAAATGTTTATTACTCTTCGTAATAAATCATGCGAAGCTTAATCCATGTTGAATTGAAGATGGAAAGTCCATCATGTGGAGATAATAGCAACAAATTAAGAGTAAATTAAAAAAATTATGCCGCAGGCTTTTAATGTAGCTATTTTTTAAAAATCTGTCCCAATTTGATTAAGAAAAAGCAAAACATGGTTATTTTAATTTGCATTTCTTTGATTACTAAGGTGGCAAATTTTGTTCTTATTGGTTTTTTTTACTTTTGTATATTGTCTGTCCATTTCACCCAATCCAGTTTTTTTTGGAGGGCGGGGGGAGTTTTCTGCAGGATGAGGAACTTGTAATAGTGTTTAACTTTAAAATATATTTAGTAATCCTTTCCTGATCATCCTATGAGGAAAGGAGCTTCTAAAAGAAACCTTACCAGAAATAGTACTGGTGAACCTTGAGCCTGGAGTGTGACTTCAGTTCAAATCCTGAGCCAGCAACCGTTGGCTATGGGACCTCAGGCAAATGGCTTTACATTTCTGAGCCTCAGTTTTCTAGTTAGTAAAACGAAAATAACAGAATATATGTCATAGGGGTATAGTACGGCTTCAAGGAAGACTGTGTTAAATTCTCAGCCAGAAACTGGCAATGGGAGCTTGCTCAATAACTGGTAGCCATTGTCATTGTTAGTGGCAAATATTTTCAGTCTGTGAGAGGACAAGAAATGCAACTGCAAGATGTCAAGCCACTTGCTCAGGGTCACACAGCTTCTAAGAGTCTCAATCTGAAAGAGAGTGGGAATGAGAAGAAAGTCAAGGACTGGGGAAGTTCCAGGGGAAGACTATGGGGCCTGGGCACCATAGTCTGAAGAGGTCTGGGAGGGAGGCCTGCTCCTGCAGGGGTTATGCTAGGCCAATGGGAAGAAGGGTCATGGGTTTCTTGAAGCATCTGGGCCCCAAGAGCTTGGGAAGGGTTTGGTGACTTGGGTGTAATTTTTCACTCTCTGGGCCTGGGAAGTGAGAGTAAGAAGACTCGACCTTCATACAAGCCAAATCCCGTACACCATCCCCCAACCCCTTACCCCCCATCCATCTTGGGTCAAAGGATTTACAACACAGCTTTATTCATTTGATTGTTTTTGTTGGCTTTGTCACAATCTGATGACCTTCACACTTAGTTCTAACTTCCTTGTGTGTTAATGGTTTTAACACTCAGCCCTAAAATTCTAAAGCTCCCTTGTTCTTTCTAAGCCACCAGAGATGCCCCTCCACCACCTCCGAGGCAGAGAACTGGGGGCCAAATGTATCCCGGCTCATAAGATCACACCACAGCCAGCCAAACCTTGGTCCGTAACAATACATTCCTTCCAGATTTTGTATTTTAACAGCCCATGGATTCTCCTTCTCTTCTGAGAACAACAGGGAGTCGGCCCTTGTCCTTCCAGCACACACCTAGAGCCCCCAGACAGAATCCACAATCAGGAAAGATGATGTTGCCTCGGGTTTCACAGAGATCAGCAAAGGACCCTTTACCTTCCGCACTCAGCTCATTTGTGGTCAGTTGGTAGAGGGAAAACCCAAACAGTTATTTCTCCTTCTGAGGCTCAATAGGGGAACTTGAGGTCTCATGAAAAGATCACATACACGAAATGTTATTACTGCAGAACATTTGGCCTTGATGTGCAGATAAGGGCACCACTCTTCCTTTCTGGGCCACAGTGAAGGGTGTAATCATGACCTCTAACTGTCCCTTCACATGCCAATGATCTGCAATTATAAGTGAGCTTGAGGTTGGAGTCAAACACTTTATGGCTAGCAGGACTGCATCTTTTCCATGTAGCTCCATTCAGCTGGCCTCCCATGTTCTCCCACAAACCTCAATTATTTTATATTAATGCTATGAGTAGCACCAAGTATCTGCTGCTGTGTGTGGCACAGGGAGAATGTGTACATTCGAGGTTGGTCAGTGTGGAGACAAGGGCATGTGTGTGTGTGTGTGTGTGTGTGTGTGTGTGTGTGTGTGTAGTGGACTTCGTGCTAGTGAGGCTGGAGAAAGCAGGAGCCACGTCATGAACAACCCAAAGGCCATGTTCCAAGTCAGGAATTTATTTCAGGACAAAGAAGAGCCACCAAAGGGTTTTTAATGTACATTTTTCTCCCTGTATGTCCCTCTTTTCTTCCCCAATGTCACTCTCTTAGTGAGGCCTCCCCTGACCACCCTGTTTAAAACTTTAGTCCCCTTCATATCCTTTGTCCTGCCTACTCTGCTTTGTGTTTTCCCATAGTACTTATTATCTTGTAGCATACTATTTAATCCGGTTATTCATTATTTATTTCTCTCCACTCAAATGGAAGCTCAAGGAGAACAGAGATTTCTGTGTTTTTGCTCAGGAAGGTACGCCCAGTCCCCAGAATAGTTCATGGCACAAAACACACTGTGAATAAACATTTGTTGAATGAATGAATGAATCCGAGCGGACAGATGCTCTGTGCTTCATTGCTTCAGAGGAAGGAAGTGGTAGAAACAGAAGAAGCCTCTGAGACGTGATGGTTTTGTTTTTCATGAGAGTTGTAGCAAGTTTGGGGTGGTTTGTGGAGAACTGAGAAAATAATTTATGGAGAAACATGAGGGAAAGCAGGGCTCCCCTCTTCCCCGCAACCAAATACCTGAGTCTGGACAAGGAATGGAGAACTGAAGGGCCTGAAGCAAGCGGCCCAGGGCCAGCTTTTGGCAGACTTACGGAGAGGGGACGGTGCTGAGCAGACGGGACAGGGGCGCTGTGCCCCAATATGGGGAAGAAGCAGCTGAGATGCCAAGAGGACTTGCAGCCTAAGGAAAAGATAGCAAACCCAAGTGTGACCCTGCCCCCGAACTCACAGACCTGGAGGCAAGAGACCACTGATCGATCATACAAATAGACATACAGTTCACTTAGAGGAAGTTAAAAGAAAAGAGAAAAAAGAAGAAAAAGCGAGATCTCCCTCAGGAAACCCTGGTCTTGAGTTGTGAGGTCTTGGAAAAACTTAAACAGAAGCCAGGCAGGTGGGTGACAAGATCCCAGGAGGGCACCCTATCCTATGGCTCTCTCCCTTTTCACTTTCTGAGCTGTGAATACCTTTCCCTGATCACTTACGAAGATTAGATCCGCCTGATTCCTCTTGTGTAAACATCGAGCTGGGCCCACCTTGACAATCCTCCCCACAACCCCCACCACCATTTTCCCTCTGTTTGCAAAGGCTCTCGCTGTCTTCCTGATTCCTATAACAATCCAGGGGCCAGAAGGGCAGACGCGCCCACCCAGAGAGAGGGTTTACAGTGAGTCCGTGGCAGACCCAGGCCTCCCAACTTGACCTGGCCCAGTACTGTGGCCAGCACTGTGGCCCAATCCAAAAGGTTGTGAGCAGCCAACCGTTACAGTCTCAGACTAGCCTGTGTAGAATGCAAGATGAGCCCCCTAACTATGGTGGGAACGATTCTCCCAGGGAGGCCCAGACATTTTATCCAAAGGTAAAATGGGGTTATCCTGGGATAACCCTAAACAGAGTCTGAGATCTCATACCTCACTTGCATGGTGGTTTTAAAACCACAAATTCTTGGACATTTCTCCCATTGAGAGGCCAGGTTCTGTCCTCTCTCGGCCAGCGTTAGTGACTTGTACCAACAGAATACAGCAGAAGTGATGGTTTATAGATTCTGAGGGTCACAAAATACTGTTTTGCAAGATAAAGAGTTCTAGAGATTGGTTACACAACAGGGTAGATGGACCTAACACTTCTGAACTGTACGCTTAAAATGGTTCAGGTGGTAAATTTTATGTCATGTGTATTTTACCATTTTATTTTGAAACAAAACAAAACAAAACAGGCGCCATTCATACAATTCAATATTATTTGCAAGTAAAAAGGAATGAAGTACTGATACATGCTACAATATGTTTGAACCTTGAAAACACTATGCAAAATGAAAGAAGCTGGTCACAAAAGGCCACATATCATAATTCATCCCTTTGTCCAGCGTCTCTATGCTGGATACGTTCCCTGCGCATTAGCCACGTAGTAGGTTATCAAATTGACTTTGCAGTAGTCCAGTACTTGTGTTCAAGTCACCTTTATTTTACTTAATAATGGCCCCAAAGTGCAAGAGCAGTGATGCTGAAACTTTCAGGCACCCTCCTCTATTAACCAAAACTCTCAGTGTAGCATCTTCAAATCTCACATGGCCTTCTCTCTTCTGTGCTGAATCTCCATCTGCCTCTCTTGTGATGACTTTTAAGGCCTAGCAAGATAATCCAGGAAACTCTCCATCTTGAGACCTTTAACTCAATCACATGTGCAAAAATTTCCTTGACCATATAAGCTGACATTCACAGGGACCAGAAACTAGCACCTGGATATTTTTAATGGCCATTATCCAGGCTATCACAGGGGGCATCGACATTTACAACTTTCCTGTCTAGTAGGGTCTTTATTCAAACCAGAGCAAGCAACCAGACTGCAGACAGAAGAGGAGGAAAATCATAGTTTGTCTGGGCCTTGCTGGGAAGGGAAGTTCTGTGTAGCCAGGGCTGAGGAAGGTGACAGCTCTGAGAATTCTTAGGCGTAGGCTCCCTGCCTGACTTCACAGGGACTCAGGATTTGAGTTGTCCTGACAAGCTTCTCGCATACCTACCGTGAAGTTGTCCACTGCAGCTGCCAGGCCCTGCACACCTGCCTCCTGCAGGAAGACTGAGGGGCCTTGAAGAGTTCCCATCCATGCTGCACTGAGCTCTGAAGGCCAGCCTCTCAGACAGTCTCACATTTGTAG